TTGATCTTTATTGTGGAGGCTGTCGCTGCTCAAGTGTGCAGTTTGCTCCTGCTCCTACAACACCTTCCTGTCTTCTTTCCCAAGCTTTGGGGACCCACGCAGCTTGTTGCAAACACACCACAAGCACGAGTAAAGTGCAAAACCTACTGGAGGACAAACAAAAATTGGTAACAGCTTCTCTCGAAAATATATTGAGATAACGTCTCCTTCCCAATGAAATTCCGGCGAGGGTTTCAAGACATATCGGTTGTATATAGGTTACAGTATATATTTGTTTTAGCTGGGTAAAGTCCAGGCCCACGGCGAGCGGCGGTAAGGGGCAGTTGATACATATGCAAACTCTGTGCAAACCATAGCACAAGCGGAGCAAACTGTTGCCTATTTGTTCCCTGAACAAGTGTTATCAGGTTGCCAGTACCTGGGCACCCCCAAGTGTTCCCGACGTTTCCACAGAAAACATGTCTTCTTCTACGCGTTGTGGCAATGTCAATGTCTAGTCAAGGGCCATCAATATCAACGCATCAAGTTTGCTCTCACAACTCACAACACTACTCCCTGATTCGGATCCCCAGTACCGCGCACTGTACTCTCGGAAAAAGCTTTCAAAAGCCAACTGAATGTTTCAAGTCCCATCTACCACTCAACATCCACCCCATCTGACAATGCAATGCAGCTGTAGACACTACCCTCACTAGCCCCCTTCAAACGGCAACTCAGCCAATTCTGGTCTAGCCTTCTGCTGTCGAGGCATCTGTCCTCAGCATTGCTATTCAGCCCTCCACCCTTTTTCTTTTCTTCCCTTGTTCCGGGGGAGGCAGGCTGCTAAGGGGGGTTAGGAGAGGCAAGGTAAAAGGTAGCTTGGTAGCATAGCTACCACCCCCCACCTGAGGGCGGGTGGAGCTTTCTTCAAGAACCCTTCTCATGGTTGATTTGGTCTCTAGATTTAATGGAAAACTTATCTGGTAGACGGTTCTTGAGGTCAACACGTTGGTGTTGACTCTCCAGGCTTCCACTTGCTGTCTGCGCATGGCGCCACCTGCAGCGGTTGCAAGTCCATTCCTTTCACTACACCCAAACGACGGCTGGTGGAAAATCTGTCCAATTGGTTGAGCGTACTTGATCCTCCCTGCCATTACTTGCAGCATAACTGGCCTCCTCCTCTTCTGAGAAGCCAGCATTCGGTTTCGCCTAAACGTTCAAAAGAGTTGTCTGCACTCTGCACTTTTGACAAATCTTGCAGCAGCCTTTCCACATTGCGCCCAAAGACAGTCTTTGTAGACATGCAACACCTAGCGCACGTGGAATGTTTTTAAAACACCCTCGACACCGTGCATATGGAATGTCTTTGATTCAAAAAGTGCTCAAAATGTTGGCTGCACAAACAAGTAGTGCAAGCCTCCATGCCCTTGCCTTTTAACCTCATTGCAACCAAAAAAACGCGTAGGAAACCTTGTAGGGTGCGTAGTTGATTAAAGCCATTTGCACAAATGCATTCTCCCAAGTTTCCCTGAGCAAAAGGCTTTTCCATCTGGGTCTGATTGACGAGCATTCTTCCAACTGCTATGGGGTAGGGGTTGCCATCGATCTTGATGCAACGGGGCCTTGCGAAACATGCAAACGTTTGTTTGCGTTGGACCCACATCCCAATTGTCAGATCGAGTGCGTTGGTCTTGTGACAATGAAAGAAGGAAAAAGGTGCACAACAAATGGGGCTTATATAATAGCGTCCTTGCTCCTAGTAGCGATGCCAAGCCCCTAGTAGCTGCTTGTTCCTAGTAGTAAGGCCAGGAGCCCCTAGTAGCGGCCTTGCTCTTAGTTTAAAAGGGACACATGCACCCTTATTTTTTCCGCCTCTTGAACATGTTTCATGTCTCACACACCCTGTTCATTTCATTTTCTCAGAGCGCGGCTGCCCCTTGGTGACTGTTCCAAAACCTACGACTCCATTCGCTGGCACCTCAAACACGGCAGTCAACAATTTACAAGACTTAGTGGGGTTGAGTGGTTGAGCGAGCGAGCGAGTGAGTTTGAACCAGTGAAGCGCCAAATGCCCAAACGGATGCAAGTTTGGCATTTGGGAAATAGGCCACAACGCGATTGAAAATTGGACACACTGACCAAAATCCAATTGGCACACAATCAGAGGAATCTTCATCAAGATCAACCTTTTAAGGTTATCCCACGGAGCACAGACTTGTTCCCAGTCAGCAGGCGCGGCAGGCGCCAGAACGCAGTCTTCCTCAAGATCCTCAAGGTAGTGCACTACTTGCTTTGAGGTATGAGCCGCACAGTTCCGAACAAGTTTTTCGGGTAGGATCGCGATTCATATTGGAGACCATCTCCATATGGTGATCTTTAGCGGGGGGCAAAGATGCCTCCTGATGCCACAAAAGAACAAGCTCATTGGACAGTGACATCGCAGGGTGATCACATTTGTTGTTGCGGTCACCAAAAGAACATATTCTTGTGATGTGTCCATGGCGGTTTCTCCAAATACCAGCGGATTGGGATAACGTCTCTGAATGCGCAGCTTCAATGGCGGCAGTTTCGGTGATCTTGGCACCGCGCCTTGATGCGTTTCTGGGTATGTGCTTCAAACACCCACAAGTGCTGAATGTTTATCTTTTTGAGTCCGGCCATACCACTTGACTCAATCCTTGGAATGGCTTTCCCAAAAAGCTCACACTCAGAACGCGTCAAAGTACAACATCCACCAAAACACCCTATTGGTTTGTTCGACATCCTGCTGCCTTTTCAAGGGCGGTACACAACACCTACTGACTTGGGATTTCAGGGGAAATGTCGACGTCATTTACAGCTGAACGGTTGGCCAAGCCCAGGGCTTTGTTGTTGCGGAGTGGTCTGGCTGAGATTTAGATTGAGTCTTGCGGTGCATGAAGGCAAGGCGGGTCTTGCAACGAAACTAACCCATGTCATTGCGGCTAACTACAGTTGTTAGACAATAAAAGCTAGAATAGTATAGCTTGGTGTATATATATATATATGTCCGCCGACCCCAGCGAGGATGGGGGAGCGCGCCAGAGAACAATAACTATTATATACAATATTGCTATATGTATACTGTATTTAGTTATAGATACTAGTAAGTATCACTCAGAATTCACTTGGCGATCTGAGACACAAGATCCGAGATCGCTATGACGCCCCAGGTTCGAGACAAACCCGCCCAAGATCAGAATCTCACAGCTTGCCAAGGCGCCAAGACGCCCGGCAACATCAAGTCTGCACCGTTGAGTACAAATTTAGACCTTCAGAAAATTGCATGTCCAATGACACAACCTGAGGACTCAATGTGGACAGCCTTGGCAACCCAAGTTTCTGACACTGGTGGATGAATTGTCAGCTCTTGCATCATGTGCCTCTGGGGAACGCCGGCGAACGGCACTCATCACTCTCTCTCTCTCTCTTTCTCTCACTCTCTCTCTGTAAGCTGAGCGGTTACTTTGGCAATCTGCAGACTTGCTTGTTACAAGACCGACTGAGGGCACGGGAATTGCCACAATGTGTAGAGTGTCGGGAACAGCCTCAATTGAGCAATTGTTGAGAACCCAAACCCTGCCTTTTGGCTACAGAACAAAGGATCCTTCTTAAAGAGTGCTTTTCTATTGTTCCGTAAAGCTGTGAGCACGACTCACCTCTTCCTTCAGCATCAAAGAAAGCAGCAGGTGCATCACCCGCAGAATAGAGCAAGCTTCGATTGTCCAGCTTTACCACCTGCACAACGTCCAAAATTCCATTTTCAGCGGCATCAAGGCGCGTTTTCATGTGGAAGCATTCGAAGAAGCAGTCTTGTTAGAAGCATTCTGGCTACTAGTAGTAATGGCCTCCACCCTAGTAGCGATGGCCTCCAACCTACTAGCTTCTTGCTACTAGTAGTGGTCTTGTTATATAGAAGCATTCTTTGAGGTGATATCCAAGAGAGGCCATCCCGCCATCTTTGGAAGCAAAGTTACAGGTAGAAGCAGTACAAATAGTGTGAGTACCCGAAACAAAAGATGCGAGTACCAGTACTTCATCAATACTAACTAGTGCAAGATATGTTTTGACAAAATGTACAGGGAAGGTGCGGCCTTTGCTTGACCTTCTGGCAAGGTCTCTTCCAAATTCTTATCAGTGAGGCTAGGGTACAACTCAGAGAGTTGGCCTGGCACTCGTTGCTGCGGAGCGTGCGCAAAGTGACAGGCATACAAATACATGGTCTAAAACAATAAAACATAACGAAATGGACCTCTTTGATAAGGCCCCTTTAACTTAGAGTACAGGGGGTCTCATTAAAGAGGCCCATGTCTTCTTTGTTATCTTTTTTCTATTTTCTCGTGTATTCCCATTCATAGAGTTCTTGCATGGCAATGCCAGCAACAAAAAACTGTGCGTCGGGCTCTTGAGTGCCTTCAAATCCTGAGATGATGAATTCAAACAAGGTGAGATCAAAGCGTTCGATATCTCTAGATCAGAACACAAGTCATGAGTCAGGCATGAAATTGCCTTTTCAATTCACAACGCTTGTGAACCCTCATTGCCTTGCCTTCTTGGACAGAAGATTTTGCCCTTGAGCTGTGTACCTCGCACTGGGAAGCATTTGAAGCAACCGCATACCGCTGTCACATGCTAGTTTGCTGCGAGGCCCTTGCGGTTTTTTGAACATGTGCGGAGTGCGGAGGGATGCTATCTACACTGCACGCCACACCAGTGATTTGTTTTCTGGATGCGTTGACAAACACTATTCATCCGTCTATCCTTGATACTTCTACCAAGCATTGACATTTGAGCCCAAATCTAAGTTTCACCATTTGCTCTCCATCAGGCATTGCAAGGTCGTGCTCTTTCCGTTGCGAAAAGGCAAAGACTCCGGGACTGGTCAGCTCGTTTTGTCCTGTGTGGCACTTGTTTCTAATAGCTTCTTGTTACTACTAGTAAGGCACTTGTAAATAGAAGCGATGCACTTGTTACTAGTAGCATAATTATAGGGAGGGCACATTGACGGAAAGAATGAAATAACTTGAGCAGGCTGCCCATTCCATCACTCAAGACAAAAGCCGCCGATTATTTTCCTCCAGGCTTGAGAACTTTTTGTTCAAAGGATATGAAGCCCCTAGTAGCTTCCTTGTTCCTAGTAGCGATGCCAGGACCCCAGGAGCCACTAGTAGCGTCCTTGCTCCTAGTAGTAAGGCCAGGAGCCCCTAGTAGCTTGGATATGAATCTGGGCATGTTCGAAATTGAATGCACTTTGGCATTCAAATAGCTCTTTCTATTCTCTGCTCATTTTCTTCGAGGGGACGAGCCTCCAAACTTCGCTTCATTTACTTGAATGCGATGCAGTGAACGGGCAAATTTGCAGTCAGCACATTGCAACACTCAACAAACATCTGTAGTGCTGTTGTTTTGGAAACCGCGTGCAGTGGAGGGGCTGAGTGTAATATTGAATCGGATGTCCTCCACGACAGCTGCGCCATCCTCTGAGCGCCTTGCCCTAGCAGAAACACCGAAAACACTACAAAACACCTACAGGATCGTTGGTTCCTGTAGGATGTTTATGCTGACTCTTAAGCATCTACATGTCAAAATATACTTTCCAAGTATTTTTCATTTAGGTATCTATTTCGATGTTTTATTCTGTGTGTCAATCGTTTTATTTTTGCTTCCTCGAAGAAAGCGAGCTCGCACTGCCCTAAACTAGGAGTAGCATAGCAATCATTACTGGTAGCTACTTAAGTAGTTACTATAGTAGCTACTATATCACTATATCTAATAACTAGTATATACAAGTAGCTACTATATCTATTCATTACTAGTAAACTATAAATACCGTAGCTACTTGCAGTCATTACCAGCACTACTTCCTCATGACTTACCCTATCCCACCTCAGAAGAAGCGGAAACGAACAAACAAGTAGTTTTTTATGGGTAGTGACACTAGTGAAGTCCAAAACAAACAATTTTTGTTCCAGGCACTGTAAAGGAAAATGCTCTTGCTTGAACATGTTCAAACCCCGCCTTCGTACCTCCAGCGCTACAACATCACCAGGAACCTTTGATTTCACAGCGAAAGAAACAAACTACGTCAACATACTTAAGGAAAGTAAGACACCTTTTGATGGGTTAGTGCATCTTTTGTACAAAGAGAAAAGAGGCTCTACTGCTTCTTGTTCAGGGAGCACGCTTATCCAGCAGCTTAAAGATGTCAGCTCCAGCTCTGACGGGTTTCTCATCAAGCGTTGTAATAACATCGCCAATTGTACCATTCAGCATAGGACGGACTCCTGCCTTTTCCGCTGGACTGTTCGATACTACTGAAAAGACGATGATGCCAGGGATTTGCAAAGCATCAGAAATGCCATCTGGGGCCTAAAATGAGTGGAATCCGAGCACAACATGAGAATCGAAACTTTTGCCACCAAAGTGAAGTTTGCCCTTCTTCATATGTAGGAGCTTCGAAGTTTGTTCGGAGCGAACAAGTTTCTGCCTTACCCTTACCCTTAGTAAGGGAGTTAAGTAAGGAGGCAGGGCCACGGGCTTAAAAAACGCATACTATTTTTTTCCAAATAACAAAAGAACAAAGCTTTCAAAGCTGTGACTCCATGCGTCAAATGTGATACCCAAGAAGCCACGAGATACAAAGCCCTGCTTCAGTATCAACTCCACGTTTCGCTTCACTGTGTCAACCTTCTCCACAGGACAAACACTTTGATGGCCTCCAACCTAATAGCATCCTTGTTACTTGTGGCTTCTTGCTCCTAGTAAGGCCAGGAGCCCCTGGTAGCTTCTTGCTCCTAGTAGCGATGCCCTTTGCTCCTAGTAGCCTCCAACCCAGTAGCGATGGCTTTTGTTCAAGGACAGTTACAACTCTCTTAGGCATGCACAGGAATCGCCAAGCCCACCCCAGCTGATGTTCCGCTGGCGGTGAGGATGGCCTCAAGTGTTTCTCTGTTCCAAAGCATTGTCTGTACAACACCTAGACTAAGCCGGAGATTAGTCACCTCAAGAATTAATTGCTACTTACTTGAAACGTACACGGTCGGCAAGGCATCACATTCTCTTGAGAGGGAAAGATCTGATTGGTGGTGAGCAAGCTTCGTGCTGAAGAATGTGGTAGACATTTCTGAGGTTCCACTTGACAAGTTCGCTGAATAACTATGAACGAGCAAAAGTAAAGGATCAGCAAAATCCTTGCCAAGGATCTGTATTTACACCTATGACACGTCCAGCTGCATCGAGAAGAGGACCACCAGAGTTGCCTCACATGGTCAGATCTTGCAGAATACCTCGCGCAGCTCGGCCGCGCCTGGATTGATTGAAGCATCTGTTTGAATGCATCCTTGGATTGGCCTCGTGCCACGAAAACAAAGTCGCATTCTTCGTTTTCTGAAAAACAAGAAAGTTGATAACAACAAGAACTACGAAGAATACACGGCCTTTCACCAATGTCCAGTGTTCGGGACTTTCCCGAAATAATGCCCTTGCTCCTTGGCTCATTCCAGGCATGTGCGACCAAACACGAGTCAAATACATACAATAATGTTTGTACTCCATCTACAATGCGGTGTCCTCCAACCTAAGCCTTAATACATACAAACCTTGAATTGTCATTGTTTGCAACAAAGAGTCATGCTATGGTCGAGACCAAATGGATTTCCAATGGCGTACACACTCTGTCCTGCAAGATGGGCATGACAAAACGTTGTTCGAGCGAGAATTATAGAGGGAACATAAAACAAATTGAAACAATGTGTCGTTCGACAGGGAAAAAAAAACATGAAAATAGGGTCAGTCCTACTTCAAGAGCAGCAGACTCCCCAAGTGGCAAAGGATGCATGGGAACCAATCTTTTGCCAGAAGAGAATACCCTGATCACTGCTGTGTCGGTGAATGGATCTGTTCCGACCACCTCTCCCTTCAGCACTTCCCGCTTGGGAAGATCATCGTCTTTTCCACCATCCAGAAATACCACTTGGAGGTCTTGCGGTCCAATCTCTCTCACTACATGATAATTCCTCGAAGAAACAAGCAACGCAAAACCGGAGAACTCAGTGGCTAGCGGCTGGCAGTTTCACATAGTTTCACAGTCGCTGCACTATCTCGCGAAGGCACGTTACCACGTGCATCTGATCCCAAACCTCGGCTCTGACATGAGCTTTTTTCTGCTGAAACCAGGAACCCTGACCATCGTTACTAGGAGCAAGGACGCTACTAGGAGCAAAGGGCATCGCTACTAGGAACAAGAAGCTACTAGGCTCCTGGCCTTACTAGGAGCAAGGACGCTACTAGGAGCGTACGAAACAGTTGGAGAAACAACTTTGGAATTTAGTGCTACAGCATGCACCTTGAGTGGCTAAAGGAACGAGGCGTACAAACCGCAGCATCCTCACGGCATGTCACTTTTCGTACAGGGAGGAGTGCCAGTGACAGCGACCAGCAAAGGCGGAATTGGTTTAGGAATGTTGTTTGCTTGATCATTTTCTTGGTAGTAAGGGACAATACAGAATTGACATGATTTTAAACGAACACGACAGGACATCAACAGGGAAATGATAGAACTTCAAACAGGACAATGAACGGAGTTATACTGGACAATGAAGGAAATAGACTGACAAATGAAGGGGTTTTAAGAACACGGAACATATTGAAAATGACAGGTTGTAGAATAAATGGAAAGGGGATCCGGCTTAGCAGAAACAAAACAAGTCAAAAGTTCCAGAAAAAGCAGGAAAGACTCCAGACCCACGAAAAGTGGGGAAGCGTCTTCTTTCTGAAAGAGAGAGAAGAGCAGAAAAGTAGCGATTCGTGGACAAGAATGCAAAGAAACAAGATGTAACACACACTAAATACTCAAGTGGACGGTGATTTCTCAAACCAAACAGACCTTATCGTCCGGTGCAGCAGAGTTTTGCTAAGAACCTGTCCGGCACAACACGTGCTTGAGGGTGCAGCGCCTCCCCCCAAGAAGCACACAAGAGGTCATGTGCGTTCAAAGAAGAAGTCTACATAAGTTTCTGGCTGGTTACAAGTCATTATGAGCTTCTGTTTTTGCTGCTCTAAACTCTAAACGCTGCGCTTCTTGATGTCCAGCTTGGGGTGTGCCGAGCATGCTTCACAACAAAAGAGCCGCTGAAGCTTGGATGACATATCCAAAAGTACGAATCGAGGATATGGATCGGATGCGGAGTGTACAAACAATATTGTTGACTTTATCGAAGAGTTTTGATATAACTTTGAAACAATCAGCAGCATTCAAAACCCCGTGTGAAATCCTTAGACCCAAACTGCAATCCAAATTCAATGCAGGACGGCTCAACGGAAAACACATTACTTATTGCAGGGTTTGTGATGAAAATGACATTGTGATATCAGCCTGATTGTTCCATGTCCCTTACATAGCTGCAGCTGTCATCTACTTTCATGACGGTTTTGACAGGAGCACGATGGAGATGGATAGTAGGGAGACGAGCGGCTACTGCTTGGTGGCCCGTAGCATTAACCGTTTTGCTGTCACTTGCAAACTAGCAAGCTTATAAAAGTCGTTGGATGGAACCAAAAACCACACAATTGCACAAAACGAGAATGCCAAAAGCCGCCAAAATGCTAAAGGCCACTACAGTCTGAAAGCCAAGAACATCAAAAGCCAAAAGCCAGAAGCCACCAGAAGCCACAACTAACAATAAAGAAAAGTTCCCCTCCACCAGCAAATGCTACGAATGACTGATGTGGCCTCAGAAAGCCTCTGTTCCCAACCGGAACTTTCTTTGATGTTGAAGTTAAAGCTGAGCGTGACAAAGGCAAATGTAACGTTAGCAGTCAATTACATCATGGCAGCGCAAAGCTAACCGGCAATCTCTTCTGCAGGATTGAAGCTCGCAGAAGTATCATCAAACCACCTCCCTTTTTCCCGAATGCGTAGCGAGGGGTTCTCGTTTAACTCTTGGGGGTCTGGGGGTAGAGCCTTGTTCGCGACCCGTTGCTTCTATGTTCGCAACCGTCCGCAACCGTTCGCAACCGTTCGCAACCGTCCGCCGTAGGACGCTAAGGCGCTGCCATTGGGGGAAGCTTTTGCAAGTGACTTTTCATGGATGTGTCACGTGTCAGTTTGCGCCGCTATTCCATTGTGATTTGCATGAAAATGACATGTCGCGCAAGAAGCGTGATGCATTTCGCTGCACAGGCGCAGCGTTTCGTGAGATCCGCAGTTTGCTGCGCAGTTCCATTGGGATTAGCGTTTGGAGAGTCGTGTTTTGGGGGTGTTGGGTGTGGCCGTGCCATTGGGATTTGCGTTTCAGGGTGCGGCATCGAAGCTCTGTTCTCGTGACAAGTCTCAGCTGAAATGCCGATTTTGGTGGATGGGAGTGTGCTCAGAACGGGTCGAAATCATTCCAAACGTGTGGTGTGGTGCAAATTTTTTTGAAGCTCACATGAGATGATATTGTCATTTTTCGTGGCAGGCGCAGGACTTTGTGCGGCTTTTGAGGTGTGGAAGTGCGATTCTCGTGGCAGGCGCAGGGAATCGTGAGGTTGCGAGGTGTGACGGAGGTGACATTTCGTGGCAGGCGCAGTACTTTGTGCGCGTTAGACGTGTGGGCGCGGAAAGATTCGTGGCACTCTCAGGGAATCGGGAGGTTGTGAGTTGTGGTAGAGGTGAATGTCGCTGTCACATTGGGATTGGCGTGTGAGCGGGTGTCGTTTGGAGGGGCTGGAATCGCGAAACTGCTTGGCAGGGCTGCGTGATGTGTGTGCTCTGATGGGTGTTTCCGCTGGACTTTTGGAGGAAGTCTCGTGCGAAACCTTCGTTGACATGTAAGTTTTTGAGGAAGTCTCGTACGAAACGCTCGTTTTGGGGACTTGACATGTGACTTTTGGAGGAAGTCTCGTACGAAACGCTCGTTTTGGAGACTTGACGTGTGACTTTTGGAGGAAGTCTCGTACGAAACGCTCGTTTTTGAGACTTGACGCGTGACTTTTGGAGGAAGTCTCGTACGAAACGCTCGTCTAGCAGCCTTGCAGCGTGACTTTTGGAGGAAGTCTCGTACGAAGAGTGCGCCCTACAGGAGTGTGCCCTACAGGAGTGTCCCACAAGAGTGTCCCGCAACATCTCGTTTAACTCTTGGGGGTCTGGGGGTAGAGCCTTGTTCGCGACCCGTTGCTTCTATGTTCGCAACCGTCCGCAACCGTTCGCAACCGTTCGCAACCGTTCGCAACCGTCCGCAACCGTCCGCAGTAGGACGCTAAGGCGCTGCCATTGGTTGAAGCTCACATGAGATGATTTTCTCATTTTTCGTGGCAGGCGCAGGACTTTGTGCGGCTTTTGAGGTGCGGAAGTGCGATTCTCGTGGCAGGCGCAGGGAATCGTGAGGTTGCGAG